GTATTTATACAGAAACATTATTGGTTAGTTTACCAACTCCAGATTTTAGTATGCCATATAATGTTATTACTTTAACATGTACAGTTATTGCATTATTTTTTGGGAGTATGTTTAATTTAATGACTAGAAGCTTTGTGGCATTTGTTGATGTTGGGAAAGAAAAAGCTAAGAAAAAAATTAATATTGATGAAAGTAATATGCAAAAAGAGAAAAAAGAAGATACAGATAAAAAAAAAAACTAAACCAGAGATAGAAAAAACAATAAATGAATCAGTTTGTAGTCAATTAATGGATAGACTAAGTAGTTCACAAGGGCTAAATAAATTAATAGTTGTTTAGCATAAAGGTGTTTGCAGGTTATTGCTTCTGCTAGTTACATATATAGTATTTAGATTTCTAATTAAATTTAATAAAATATTTAATAAATATCTTAAACGTTTTAAAAAATGTATGGATCTCCTTTAGTATAGGTGGGCATATATAAATTATTACAAGGTTATAATATATAAAACCTAACTAATTTGAGCCAATTTAAATTCTAACTTTAACCCTGACTCTAATAATTTATAAAATTACTTAAATTAGTTCAAAATACTTAATTTATACATATTATAATTGTATAATAATAATTATATATGCCCACCTATACTAAAGATCAACCGAATTGCGAAATAGATAATTATTTACATCCAAACCTCATATGTCAGGTTATTAAAGAAAATTTGCTTTATAACAAGAAAAAATTTACTCAATAAAAATTTGATATATTTTTTATACTTTATTTTCATATTTTAAGAAATTTTTTCAATAAGTAAACTTAAACAAAAAGGTTATTTTTGTTAAAACTATAAATAAATTAGATAAAAATAAAAATAAAAATACTTAGAAGCAGGTTTGAGTTTAAATAAAACTTCATATTCAGAACGCCAAATTAGAGCGAGTTATTGAAAAGAAAATTTGTACCAACGTTAATGCGTAGTGGGTTGTGTATCGATTAAAAGTAGAGGGATTAGATTAACGTATAGGCGATATGGGAGATGTAGTATTTGTTAATAGTTTCTGAGAAGACTTAAAAATTTATACAGTATTAATGAACATTGCATAAAGCAATTAAGGGAATACATTTGAAACAGTGCGAATAGAAGAATAGTTTTGTTGTAATTATTAAATATGTTATTAGATTAAAAAGCTAAATATAAAGATTCTGATAGAGGTTGCCGCAATGAACATAGACTTGGCTGGTGTGCACCTTTGTATATATGATTTCACTGATATCCATTTCATCAACAATTAATGTTAAGAATTAGCAACACCAACCCTAAATCGGAAAAATGAATTAATATTAACTAGGAAAACGGCGACATTTTATAGACTGGAGCCTGAATTATTAGGTCTTACAATTCAGAACCAAATTTTATGATTTAATACAAGCATTCTTTACAAATAGGACAATAATTACGTGTGGGTTCCGCGACTGCATTGCGAAATTTTTTGAGAAGGCTGCGACCATCATCAGTAAGTTGTTAGGTGGGTAACACTACATTTTTAAATTAATTTATTGCATGTTGTATTTTCATAAAACTTTAGTTTTAAAACTTTAGCCACAAAAAATCATCTTGTGTTATCTTTATTTATCCATTCGTCCAAACTGGTATTCCTCTCTTTACTATTATTAGCTGTTGAGGCTTGTTTTTTTTTCCGATCCATTTTTTCTATACGTTATCTGCTCTTTTCAGCCATTAGACTTTTCCGTTTTCTTCTAGCTTCATTCTTTATGGCTATTTGCTCAGACGTATAAGTTCTTTTGTGTTTTTGCATTTTGAAAAAATTCACCAAATCGAAAAAAGTATATACTTGTTTTATTTTTTATTTTGCTCGTGATACAATAATATATTTATTAATGCGATACGGTGACGTATTTATGATGAATGTCAGAGTATCAGTACGTACGGCAAATTTATGAAATTTGAGTATTTGACTAAACTATGAAATGCGTCATTTACTGTTTAAAATCATATATATGATGTCTAATCCGTGAAATATGGGTTAGACATTACCTATAGGATTTTACAATAAGAAATGTCAAAAACAAATAGTAAATGACGCACTTCATAGTTTAGTCAAATACTCAGATTTCATAAATTCGCTGTGATGTAACGAAATTGATCAATAGTTGTTTCGGTATTATGTATTTTAAAAGTCAGGTCAACTACGACGTATATTTTTTTGTTCCGGTATTATGTATTTTAAAGGCAGATGCTATATGTTAAACTAATATTACAGTATCCAACATTGAACCTAATTTAGATTCAATTTTTGGATTCTAAACCAGGACCACTTGAACTGGGACCGAGCATTTCTGAAAATCCGATAAGTATGGTTTGAAGGCTTTCGCTTCGTCCCTCAGCTTCAGCCAATGGAGATGATTCATCACAAGCCAACTATCGTACAGTAGTTGCTTCAGCAGTGCTTTGACCTTGCAGAGGAGTGCATATTCTTCACATTTTCTACGATAAGGTCGTTTATAACGATATTCGACTCGAATATTTTATGATTTGCAGCATTGACATTATGTTATATAATTATTAACATTAAGGGCATTTTGCTTAGCTCCTTTCAATGCCTTCTTTCTCGACAGCAAATAGACAACAATTATAAGCCCTTTTCTTTTACAGATCAATTATATGCACAATGTTTTTTTAAACCTTCATGCATAATAAAATCAACTTTCACAAGACAGATTTTCGCCCATGATCACATTACCTTATTCAAATTATTCATAATTACTGACATTAATCCTTGTTTTTTTTTTTGGATTTACGTTTAAAATGAGCTTACTATAATTTGTGGAAAATAACACCTCTTGTTAAAATACCTACTTACCGTCAATTTCGACAAATTAAATGGTAAATTACTGGTCCCGGGAGAGGGATACTAATCAATTTTTAAAGTGAAAGACCAGTGTGCCACTTTCAATAGGTTACGGTATATAGAATTATCGAAAATAATCACAGTAGTCAGCTACTAGTAATTATAATGCTAAACCAGCAATTAAATTTCTAATTTTTGATTTACTAATTTTATTAAATGAATATATATCTGAACGGAATTTGAGTTCCAAATTTAACTAGAGCATAGGTTTATATAAAATAAATTCCATTCCAAAATTCATGAAATTCCGAATCAATTTAAATTCAAGTAGATATGTGTTTTAGGGTGTTCTCAAGCAGTTCCTCAATGTCATAGGCAGAAGTTTGTCTGATTGGCTAATAAATTCAATTTAATTTTACATTATTTTATACAGTTTAGAGTATTTGTTAAAAAAACGAAAACTAATCATAATGAAATAAAAAAAACTGTATAGAAGGTTTCATTAGACTGTACGTGAACAATGTAACCTTAACGATTTACGCGAAAAATTAACCAAATTTGCGATCCATACTGTTTTGAAGTCTTTCGTACTAAAATTATTACAATTAATTAGTAATTAATAGTATGAACCTTTAAAATGAAATATATAGATAGAATCGACCCAAAAATATTATAGTAGTACACATCGTCTCTTTGGATTTATGTACCTTATCTCTTAGATAGAATAAAATATTCGAATTCTCAATTATACTCGTGTTTTCATACATGTTAAATATCAATTAATAAACATATGCGTCTAACTGTATTTTCATATATATTAGTCGTTTTGCCTCATTCGAGTAAATATAAATATTCAAAACATTATAAAGATGAGGCATTCAATTATTATTGTCTTTAGTAATTCCATACTTATAAAGAGAAAGTTCGGAAGTAACATTTTTGGTGAAGACTGTGAAATACAACTCAACCCCGTATTTATTATTCATAATTGAGAGACCAATAATCTCTGTTAAATATTTTAAATTGGCAAACTAAGACTTTCACAACATTAGCAAAAAAATTAAAAAATAATAACAGAGATTTTTAGTAAAATATCTGATGCACTAGAATTGGAATACAAAAGTTTTTATATTAAGCTATAATCAGTTTGTTGAAATAAATAATTAGCATGATCAACAACATATACTGTATTTTAATTTTAATTATTAAATTTGACAACAAATTTACAGAATTATTTTAGATTATTCTTGTATAGTATATTACTCTGTTGTATCTACTAGAACACAGCATTTTTTCAGTTTTAAAACTAGATTTTTTGATTTTTTTTTTTTTTTAGACAATTCCCTTTATTATTTCTATAGAAGTACCAAAAAAATGATCTTTTTTGGCTGGTGATTTTTGATATAATTTTGTGTACTATATTCTATTCTAATAAAGACTCACTCAACTAAAAGGCCCAGGTGCGATCTGTCAAAGTAGCCAATTTGATTCACATCAGATTCTCAACTTACTGAGGATTTGATCTCTCTAATCCTTAACTAGAGGCTAACATCCTACATTAAGCAGCAAAAACAAAAAGAAATACTAACAAAAATAACACAGAGGTATAGGGGTTTATGATAAAAAAATACAAACAAAAAATAAAAGATGTATAAAATAATAAAAAAAAACAAGAGAAAAAATTGTATAACCTAATATCATAGTTATAAGCCTGTGAAAGGCTTGTAAAAATTACATACTATATACTGTACTAAATAAACTAGTCTTTACTCTAAATTTATCTATCTAATATATTAAAGTAAAAAAACTCTGTAAGAAAACTTCATTGACCAAGTATGAAAAAATTCTGTACCAGGTTTTGTTGATTATTATGGTGCAGATCTCTAAACTACCATTCAGATTTTATGAATCAAGTATAATATAATATGATCAGGAAATTTTAAAACAAATGTTTGTTTTGTCAAAAATCATTTATTTCTCAAAATCGCATAAAAAACCACCTTTAGTGCTCTAACAAAAGTTTTTCTTGAGTGATTTTACTATATAAATTTCTAATCTCTAACCTTATTCTAAACACTAACTCTAACATTTTGAATTTTAAAAATTTTAACTGCATCATAATGATTAACAAAACCTGGCACAGAATTTTTTCATGTATCGACCAAATTTGTAAAAAGGTTGGATTCTGTCTTAAAGCATTGTTTGTATAGATATTCTGTATTCGAGATATGTGCAAATCACTACACGTGTTTGTTGTCATCTATTCAATTTGAGAAATAAATAATACTGACTATTTTGGTTCATATAATATCGATTTTTTGAAGAAGATAAGCTAAGATGTCTACTTTTTGCAAAAATTTTCTTGAAAAAA